CCATCTGTGAAATGTCTTGATTTAATTACCTTCTGAACTTCAAGAGCAGAATTAGCAACAGTATGCCAAGTGATTCTGAAACATGGAACAACTATGCCTGAACATGTAAGCCAGTATTACTGTCATTTCTTAAGCTATCATTTTGAAATCAGACCTGCGTGGGTCCATGCTTTCTGCAGACTCTCCCCATCTTCCAGTGGGGTCTTTGGGGTGGAGGTTTCCCCCATCATTACCTGCTTGCCATGGGGGTAGTTCTCCAGAACCTTTGTTTTTGGGGTCTGCCTTGGGTGGAAATTATTCCACTGAAGTTTAAGCTGTATTGTCATACAGGGATCCCTGTAAAAGTAGCTTGTTTGTCTTTCTAATAATTAGCTTTGCAAGTTCTAATGCAGATTCTTAACTTTAAGTTCCCACTGAGTTTTAGAATTTGTTTTCTGAAGTGACAGAGCTTACATTAGGTTGTTTCACTTGGTTTTCTGTCAAGTTCCTTTGTTTGCTTGTTTTCTTCAGTAACCATCAACATAAAACACTTCTGAAATTACTATTTAAAAGCAAATCTTGGTATCTGTTTTAATGTTTAAAAAATATGTAGGGGGAATAAATGAGCATCAAGAATGGCAAATATCTGTCGTGTGGGCTAAGCAAAGGAATGTGAGAGATTTCATGTTCTCATTTAAAAATAAGGAATGTTTGAGGCATACCAGTAATTCCCATTACAGGAATCACTAATAGTTTTGTGTGCTAACTGAACTTGAGCACTTCCAGCAACTTGTTACCTACTACTTGTCATCATGAGACATTCTCATATGGTTTGGTGTGGTATCTGTGGCATTTTTGGCCGGTGCAAATGATCTTATCATCTACTTTTGCCTCTGCAGTAAAGGTAATGGTCCCACTTGAAATTGGTTCTGCCAAGCTGAATGCCTTAACTGCAGTTAGTGGTCTCTTTCAGCTGTCTGCTGAGCTGCAGGGAACCAGAGGCTGGCAAATTACTTGCTCTTTTAACATAGACATCTCCCTCCCTTGCCTCACTTAGACTCCTTATTTTTATAATGGTGAGGATACATTTGTTCAAAGATGCCTTCAGAAATTATGTTAGTACAGCTGGCTTGAACCTAGATGAACAATATTAATTCCACTGGCATTTTAAAATAAAAATACAGAAAAGAAAAATAGCCCTTATTTCTTTATAAGAGCTGAGTACATTGCATATGCTTTTGGGGTGATTTCAGTGCTTGTTTTCCAAATGTGTGTGCTTGAGAGGACTACCTCTGTGTTCTAAAGAACTTTTCAAGCTAGGCAGATTGAACTTACATGACTGCATTTTTTCAAGTTAATGTAAATTGCTTCCAATATGTCATTTAAAATTACCTAATTTTGAAAATGAGTCTGCTATTGTGACTTCCCAATTCTGGGAGTGAACTTTCTAGACACTGTATTTTAAAAAGAAAAGTCCCTTGTGTAAGTGCATTTTAGTTGCATTTTTTGATTTTGTAACAAGCAGAAAGTGGAATATTGGAAATGAAAGTGCCGATGTGCCAATTCTGTAAGTACAATAGCATGTATGAAAACTAAATATGTATATTCTGACTGAACTATGGATACACAAATGATTAATGTTTAGGTGAGTTTACATAATGAAGAACTAAAGCTGTATATTTAACAAGTGTGTCCTTCTCTTCCCCCAAGTCTTTATCCCTACAGGCCAGATAATTCCAGTCTCACATTTAAAGGATAAGGTCTGTAGACTTCAAAGCTGCCATATATTATGGAGGACTGCATTATGGTCGAAGTGTTATCAGGTTACTTCTTAATAACATGTTGCACTATAAAAAAAAGAAGTCTTTCAGAAATGCTTTGGGTTTTTTGTTGAAGCACAAGTTAGTTGTTTAGTTTGTGTGGGGCACATGGGTTTTTTTTAACGCTTCCGTTAGAAAACCAAACATGCCTTAAACATATTATTTTCCAGTACATATGAATTTGTGAATGAAGGGTAACAGGATAAGACAAAATACTTTCCACACTGCCATCAACTCTACTTGTGGGTAGTTATCAAACAAAGAATCCTGAAAACCTAACATTAATGCAAACATTTGTTCACAGAAATGTTTCCAAAGGAAAACTAGGTACCTAATTAAAAAAAAAGTAGAATTGTAAAGCACATTAAAAGCAATGTAGTAGTGTTATATATGAAAGTTGATTTTAAGTAAATCTTTTAACTGTAGAAAAGTTCTGAACAGCACTGTTTTTCTCACAGATGTTACTCTTACTCTTAATATAATTAGTTTGAACTCATTGTACTTTGTTTACCTTCAGATTCAGGGTAATTCATCAGTCAGTATGTCTTTGTGTTGAGGCTATGGCTGCTTTCTGACTGCTACATCCTTCTTTCAAGGATAGTAACTAAACTGCAGAAACTTCCAGAACAAGTTTAGCATCTACTGTGGAGCTGTACCTTCCTTGCTTGGTTATGAACAGAAAAGAAACTTTGAAGTCTGAGAGCCTTGAAGGATGTCTTAGCTCTTGTGAAACATTTTAAAGGGGGAAGAACTGCAAATGCTGGGGTAAGGGGAGGTGGGACAAATGCCTCTCCATCAGCCTGGCTTGGGCTGGGAAATGTGAGGATTTGCTGTGTTCACCTGCTGCCTTTCTACTAGGAACAAAAGTGATCTGTTGGAAATAGTCTGGTTCCAGATAAAAAGCTTGCATTTAGTCCCAATGCCCTGCAGTCATAAGAGTTGCTATTTAAACACTGGCAGAACATTAGTCTGACTCTTAATGCAAAATTAAAGTGATGTTGATAAGTCAAGTGATAAATGTAAAGAATTGTGTATTTGTGAGGTTGCAGTTTTCAGGATGAGAGGTTTGCACTGTGAAAGGGGGAAAAAAAGTCAGTCGACACCCCCAAGCTCATAATAAATGGCAATTCTTTTTGGGCCAGCATCCACACAGAATTTCCTGGATTTTTGAAAGCATGTTTTGAAGCAGTAGGTTACTTGTTTCATTTAGGTTTTGGTCAGCATGTTGAGATAGGTGGTCTGACTGAGTTCCAGTAACATCATCAGATGAGAGTGGGAAAACTATCTGGCAGTGGAATTGGTGAACTATTTTTCTTATTGAAGAATTGATTAAATATGATGTGATATTGATATTCAGTGAATATATTTAATAAATATTTAGCCATACTGTGCACAAGGTGTCTGTAGACTTTGGTAGAATATTGTCCTAACTGCTAAACAAGGTATCTTCTATTTGCCATGCCTTGTCTCTTGATAGACCGTTCTCATGAGACTGAAACGGGAAGAATACTGGATCTTAAAGATAACTTATTTAAATCAATGTAATTATTAAAATAAGTATTTACAAAGTACGGATTTTTTTAACACTTCCCCCAGCACCAGTTACAGCTGATATGCCTGGCTGTCATAGTTGAGCAGTCTGAAAAGCTTGTGTATAAAACAGGATTGGTTTTATGTATGCTTGATGTAATTTATAGTTTGGTTTATGGAGCAAAATGGCAGCGATATTTTTAATTTGTCTCTAACTGTAATATCTTTTCTCTCATGTGATTGCTAGTGCCAAAAGGAAGAGGGCCATTTAAGTTTCCATTAGAAAAGGAAGAGGATATCCCATGCTGCTTCTGATTTTGTCAGCACCTTCATAAATACAGAGCTTTGCAGCAAACATTGTAATATAAACATAGGGCATGTGAAAGTGGTCAGCATAAAGGCATTGACATTGAGTTGGGGAATGCTGATGCTGGAGGATGGTATTTCTGGAAAATGTGAACTTTAAAAAGACTAGCAGAGGGAATATTTTCTGAACACAAAACTGATGGTGGTTTCAGTTGTTCATCAGACACACACGACAGAGGTGCCAGTGGGCATCGAAGTGAGAACTGGGAAAAGGCAGGTCAGATGAACTCTAATGGAGGCAAGCTTGTCTGTGTTGCATTCTGTGATGAAGAGTGGGTGTTGTGTGCTTTGAGGCACCTAAAAACTCCTGTGAAGTGGCAGTGAATAGGAGGGTGCTTATAGAAGTGAAGATAAGAGCAAAATTCTTTTTCAGGAGTGTTAAGGTAAGGATAAAAAAGAAGATGATAGTGGGGAGACATGAGGAGAGATGCATTACCATCATGAGGGCTGAACTGGTTCTCCTAACCTCCAGCTGCCTTAGTCTGGAGGAGATGCAGACAGGCAGCCTGAGGAAAGGAGGTGGTTATCAAGGTGTGCTACAGCCTGGACTAACAAATGTGTGAATAAATAGTGTGAGGGTTGCACAGGGGTATAGAGGGAAATCATATGGTGAAGTGAGATCCTGAGTGGGAATAGGAATGACACCCTTCTAACATGTTGGGATTTTTGAAAAGTCTTTTCTAGACAGAATGAGGCAAGGGCAGGGCTGATGAGTACTTGATTTTGGAGGAAAAATCAGCATTCATGTAAGCATACTTTTCTGAAAAGTTTTACATATGTAGGTGGTGCTGCATGCAAACTGGATGTGCTGGATAATTCTTGTGAGTTAGTGATATTACCAGTGGTACTATGACATTTCATGATCCTGGTGTGGAAACAGTTGATTCACCACGGTGTGATTTGCATGCAAATTGTATCATAGCTAATTATTGTATTTAAAAGGAGCATGCAGACATATTAGCACCTTTCTTTCTTCCCACCTACCTTAGAAATACTTCTTGGTTAGAAAATTAAAGTTTTCAACAGTAAATGTTGGAAAGCTGAACTTCATCACACAACAGTGACTTGGACTGTTAAGTGGAGATGGTAATAAAACTTAATTTAAGCAGCTGCTCTTTATTTATATTCACCCTTTAACTGTAATGGTTAACCACAGCATGGTTTCTTGAGATAACACTTTATAGCATGGAAGCATCTTGTTTGGTATGTAGAGATTACAAAGTCATATTGTTGTGCATAACAGCTCAGCTATAAATTAGCCCTAGGCATAGTGTGATGTGGTCAGTAAACCTCCCTGATCTGTATTTCACATATGGCGCTCTGTTGGCCCTCTTTCTATTTTTTCCTTTCTGTTTTCTGAATATCCTTTCCAAAACACTTTATTGACCTTTATTTTATTAATAAAAAAAAAAATTTCTATATTTCTGTTTTGGTTTGTTTTCCTGCAGGCAGCATCATAAAATCTTAATCAAGTGAAAATGGCCTTTAGCAATCTGACATCAAAGGCTGTGCTACTGTATGATGAATGGATTAAAGATGCTGGTGAGTCATTTAAATCTAAAACTTATTAACTTCCAATAATTCTGAATAGCAGTGCATAGCTATTCCAGGTATACTGTTTATCAACTTAAAGTAGCTTGTCTTCCTGTAAGTGTTTCTAAGAATTGCCAAGTTACCTATTGACATTTTGAACTATGAAGAACAGACTGCTTGGTGCATTTTAAAAAAAGAAAAAACTCAAACCCCATCAAGTTTATGGGTTTAACCTTAGACTGAATAAAGTGCAGACAGTGATTCTTCCATAGTAATTTCTGGCTTACCTGAATTGTATGCTTTAAATTTTTTCTGTACTTCTGAGTGCAAAGGTTTAACTCTTTTTCATTACCAAACAATGGTGTTTTTCAGTTAGTTGAGCTAGGTGCATGGTATTTTGCTTTTGCAAAGTGAAAGAAATAAAAACCTTGCTAAGTCACAGTATCTCAAAATTAATCCTTAAAGTAATTAACTCTGACACAGTTCTGTTTTGAAAAAGGATGTTAGTCTCTTATTGCAGCTGGTAAGAGATATTAAACTTTGCTTTAATGTTGTTGTTCTGTAGTTCTGCCTACTTGTCAAAAAGTTATGAAGATGATCTCAAGTCTGGGGTTAAGATCCATCGATCACAGTAGCAGAGACATGTTCCTCACTGTGGTAGGCACATAGTGACAGGGATTAGCTGATTCCTGGGGAAAACCTGAGAAGCAGTTAAGGTTTGATCAATAAAATTACGAATTTATCTTTTCCAGTATAGCTGAGAACCATTTGTCCTGTTCTGCAGAATCACAGCATACAAACGAGAAAGGAGTTTTATCAGTATGACTCGTGGGGTGAAGTGGATTGGGATGGAGCTGAGTGATGGAGCATTTCTGCTGCAGTGTACATGACTTCAGAATTTGAGTTCCTTGTCTCCCTGCCTACCAGTGCTGTATTTGGCTTTTTATGGCATACTGTTAGTGGTGGGATGTTGTTTCTTCAGGATCAAGCTGGGAAAACCAGTGGGAAAATTTTGGTAGTACCAGTGCAAGGGGTGGATGCAGAAAAAGCAGTCATTTGTGAAGAGCTGGTGATTCTCTTGCAGTTCAACACATACAGGAGCCTAGTGACGTATTTCACAATCCTTGTTGGTCTGTGGGCAACATCACGGGGCACATGACAGGCTGTGAGCAGCATTATAATATGTGCTTTCACCGTCAACCTGTTTTAAAACTTCCGGTGGCTGTAAACAAAATCGGAAGGTATCTTGGGTGATGTGTTGCTTGAATGCTGTGGGTGGAAAAATCACAGACTTCAGACATTTGGCCATGAATTAAGCATTAAACAAAAATTGTAGTGATACAATTTCACCCCCCAAATACAGCTACGAATCGTGAAAGCAGCAGTTTACTGAGTCACTGGGGATTGGACCAGATGACCTTTGAAGGTCCCTTCCAACCCAAACAATTTTATGACTAGTTAAGTTTGAAGTCACTCAGAAAATAATATTCCAAAAGTCAGTTTTTAAAAACTATATAGTAAAACAAAAAGTACATGAAGCTCATATCAGTTCTCCTGCTTATGGAGAAATGTGGAAGTCTTTGAGCTGCAACCCAGTGGTGGACCACAGAAGGGTGCATTGGAGTCATGGTGAAGCTCGGGGAGTGCCTGCCAGCCTCGGCTGCAAGGAGAGGGAGCAGGGTGTGCATAGAAGGAGGACGCTGCAATACTTCTATCTGGGATAACTGGACAGTAGCTGGCAACATTTTTGCTGTTTGGAGGCTTGTAATATGAAAGCATTTGTTTTATGGTGCTGTAAAGTGTTGACATGTCTGGACTGAACAGGCATACAGCCTCAAGTACCAAGCTGTGAACACCAGCTTATTGGACAGAAGGTCTTCTAACTTTAAAATCCTCTTCCTTACTATTTTTAGTGTCATACTGCTTATAAAGCTCAAGGATCTTGAAAAATGGGGCTGCTCCTTGTCTGTGACTTGAACCTGTGAAATAAGGTTCATGCTTTTCTAGAAGAATGAAATCTCACATGGAAAGGCAGCCTCAGTGGTCTGCCTGTGCACTGCCTTCCTATGCTGCCCTCTGAGCCCCGTTCATGTGTGAAAGCACAGACTTTTCATGGAGAGCCCTAGACAGAAAGTCATGCCACTCATCATTCTGTGTCTCCTGTTCATTGTGCGTGAAGAATTGATGCAGAAGTGTTGAATTCTACAGGTGCTGAATTTTGTTATCCAGTCAGTATGGATTTGAGATGAATAGACTCTGAAACATGATCAGTGACAGTAAAACCTAAACCATTAAGAATTAAGTATCTTCCTGTAGCTGTTTTAGGATTTAATAAGTACTGGAAAGATCCAATTTGTATTTTTTATTTTCTTCCTCCCCTCCTCTAGATCCACGACTGGAAGGCTGGCCGCTCATGTCTTCACCTTTTCCAACAACCTTTATTGTTGGAACCTACATTTATTTTGTCACTTCTTTGGGACCCAGAATCATGGAAAATAAAAAACCTTTTGAACTGAGGCAGATAATGGTGTTTTATAATTTTAGTGTGGTAGCCCTCTCTATATATATGACTTATGAAGTAAGTACTACTTTTATTTGTAATGTATTTATATGTCTTGTGTTGCTAACTACTAACTTCTCTTAAACTCATTAATAAAACCCCCACTTTGCAATTCTCAAAAAGCTATTATTCTGATTGTTGTAATTATATTCCTCTGAGCAGTATACTAGAATAGTTCAGATGATACTTCAAAAAAGGGAGTAAGTCATACCTAGAAGGAAAGATTGTAAAATATCTTATGTGTCATTATATGTAATTTACAAAATTAAAAATTCTCATAACTTATTTCTCTGGGCTGTAGCAGATAAAGCAGACTAATGTTTTCCTTAGTCTGCTGTAACTGTTTCTGTTCTACCACATAATAATCAATGCTGATTTTTCAAACACTGTATAGAGTATGTTTACTATCAAATAATCTTCAGATGGATCTGCCTTTTAAATGAGAGAAGTTAACAAAATCTAATCTTTATCTTAAAAAAACAAACCAAAACCAAACAAAAAACTTTAACAATGCCCCCCCCCAAAAAAGAAAAATCCAAACCCCCTCCAAAACAAGTTTAAAAAAAAAAACAAACCCCAAACAAAAAAACAACCAAAAGAAAAACACCCCTCTTCCCAAAACCCAAACCATGAAAAAGTCTTTAGCATTAATCTTCCCCTACTCCAAATATAGCAGATGCTTTTTTCTCAAAAGGAATGTTGAGAGTTTGCTGTAGTTCACAGCTCAAGCAAAATGTTAGACTTTGGAAGGCCTGATGAGTTCTATAGTGTTATGGGTTGAATGACCTAAAAATCCTTGGTATAGACTGAAGCTACACATTAGGTAGAATCTTTAATTTGCAACCTTAATCCTTAAAATAGCTAATGACTGTTGAATTTCTTGCTTGGGTAGGCTGGGTTTTTTTGGTGGTTGTTTGGGTTCTTTGTTTTGGTGTTTGTGGGTGGCTTTTGAGGATATTTTTTTTTTTTTTTTTTTTTTTTTTGCTGGTTGTTTTTCTGGCTGGTTGTTGGTTGGTATTTTGGTTGGGGTGTTTTTTTGGTTGGCATTTTTTTTGTTGGTTGGTTTTTAAAGTGCAGCTCTTTAGCAGTAGCGTGGATGATAGTCTTATTCTTTTCTTTGGTGAAGCATCATTATGCTAGTACTGACCTTCTTCATGTTAAATATAGCTATGCGGCTATTACAGGTTTGTCAAACTAGTAATGAGAAGTTGTCAGATTATTGCACCGAATTGGCAGAATACCTTTCTGTTAGTTCAATTTGCATAAATTTAATCATGATCTAACAGTGAACTGCATGACATTTCTTTTAACAGCACTCTAAAGGCAGTGCAGCAGCTGCTTTGTGTCATGGCTGTTGTGAGGAAACTGGTAGGCAAGATGTACATGTTTGCTCTTTAGACTTTGTTTTGAAAAATCACTGAACTTCCTTTCATGGTTTGGTGCCAGGTTAGTTTTGGTATAACCCTCAGAAACAAAAAATAATATTAAAGTTCTGTTAATGACTGGTACTGACACAGAATTCAATTGGTCTGCTGTAAAGACTTCCATGTTACAATTTGATGAAAGAATGCATGGATAGAGCGTTAACAGATTGAATTTCTGCTATTGTGTGGTGCTCAGTAAAAAGCTGATTCTTTCCCTCTTTGGAACTAAGCCATTTAGTGGGTGCTTTAGAATTGTGCTATCTGGGTGGTGCTTCGAATCTTGTTTTATTTAAGCAACTGATTCTTTTAGGAAGTTAAATGGACTAAACCCCTCCATCTGTTAAGAGAGCTGACCTCCTATCATGCATGAGTGGATGTTGATGATCAACGGATGAGAAATACTTTATAAACAGATAGAAGATACAGTAGTGCTAGTGGATGCTGAGCTTTAATATATTCCAAGAGAAAAGATTAAATTATATTTGTTACAGACAGTCCTTCAGTCATGCATATGCTCTTGACTGTAAAGCTCTAGCTTCTCATTGCTCATATCAGTGAAAGACTAAATGAATGATGCTGTTTAAGTAAAATTTTAGAAACTATGATAGGAAATATACAGTGCATGCTGATTTGTTCCTTGTCTTTCAATTAAGCCATATTTTTCTGTTGTGCTGGTTTTCCTACAGTATTAAGTTGCTGTGCTGGTTTCTTTTTCTTATTAAGATGGTTGGTTGTGATAGCAATTTTCAGAAACTACCAAAATTATTTGTTTCTGTGGTCTGATTTACACAGTAAGTTGCTTTTTTTACATTGATTTTGAGATGCACCTGTTTCTCCTCTTTGGTTACTAATGCTGAAATTATGGGTGTAGGAAGAAAGTTCTTGTCTATAGGTGTGGTCCTGGAATTAGAAATTCATTAATTTGCAATAGCAAAGGATTAGTGGATCATTAGCCCACACAGAGGTAGGTGATTGACATGGCTGCTAATTCAAAAAGTTTTTAATATTGTTTTCTCCTCCTGTTTAGTGATTGTAAAACTAATCCTAAATTAATGAAATTTTCAAAATTTTTTCCCTTTCCCTTTTCTTTGCTCCAGTTTCTTATGTCAGGCTGGGCCACAGGGTACTCGTTCCGGTGTGATGTTGTTGACTACTCAAGGTCACCTACAGCTCTGAGAGTAAGTTGCCAAACACAAAACTTAATTGTTATGCTACACTGAATTTATTTTTAGAAATGTTTTTTGTACGACCAAATGCACTGCAGTAGAGAGGAATGCACTAAATTGAAATGGCCTTTTGCATAATATGGAGCATGTGAGTTTACTGGAGGGGTTGATTGTTTGGTAGAAAGAAAAAGGCAATGTATTTGTTGGCTTGTTCTTCCTGGTTTTAAAATTCCTTCAGGATTAAATGTTTTGTGTTTTTAAAGAAAAACCAAACAAACTTATATTTAAATATTTAATGCATACCTTGTGACATTGCTTACTCATTCCACTAGTTTTCTTTATATACTTTCCTTTATTTTTTCATGCAGCTGCTTAGTTTTATTTATGACTACTATGATTTGACAGTTCCTGGCTTTTACTCTTGCAGATGGTACGAACTTGCTGGCTTTACTACTTTTCCAAGTTCATTGAATTATTGGACACGGTAAGTATTTGTAGCCTAATAAAAGAAGTACTGATGCTTCCTTTTCACAGTAGAAGAACAGGTGCTGTTGGGGACTGAGGGGCATAAATTGGTTTTTATTCAGTACTTCAGTCTTCAATTATTGGAATACTATCAAGGTGTTTACCCTTACTATCTCTTCTCATCTTATTGTCCCATTACACTGTCATTTGTTGATAGTCAAGAAAAATGTTAATAATGGAACACACTTTTAAAAACTTAGGAATCCCTGATAACTCGTCTGTTTAACAGCCAAGTATACTAACCTGTTGTGCTATGGCAGTCCTGTCTCAACACTGCAGATAAAAGAACAGCTGGTTATAGTGAATCTTTTCCATCTTCAGATTTTATCTTCCACATTCAGAATATTCAGCTCTGAATGCAGCCTAAATTTGACATACATACCTGCTCTAAATTCCTGTGTATGTCTTGGAGGTCATGACTATAGATGTGTTTGATGTCAGGCTGGCACTCTCACCTGTTTTTAAAGTCTGATCAACAATACACTGGGGCAGCCTGCAGACCTCACTTGCCACCAGCAAGCACCTGCCTTCCCCTCTTCATGAGACCAACACCTAATAGAGTTGTCTTAGACATTCTCAAACCAGTTTCAGAGGGTTGGAATCAGCTGTGATTTCGTTTGTGCAGGACACAGCAGTGGTGATTCAAGAGCTGGCTCATGAGCAGTTAGGATGTCATACACCCTGTGAGCAAAGTTAGCCATCTAACTTTCATCTGCAAATACTCATGATTCAGTACTGGAAGATCTTACTGACTGAGCCAAATGGAATGGTAATGGAAGGGCCAGGAATGCTAAAACTGGAAAAGCCTGACAAGTTTAGTCCTCTATTTACCTTTACTTTACTACCTGCTGGTTAGACTGCTCCTTTTTAATTAGTCCTGGGCCTGAGTTTTTTTTTTCTTTAAATTTGTTTTGTTTGAAGCTGCCCAATCAGGTACTTTTTCCTCAGCAGTTTTTTTGATTTATTGCAAAAATGATTTCTCAGCTGTATTTAAGTCAGCTGTTCCCAAATGTTTTCCCTAGCACACCAGACTTCTTTTCTTCTGTGTTTATTTGCTTGCCATCTGATCCTACCCTTTGCATGGCCTGACTTCTTACGCAGTTTTCTTGCTCTGTCTTCCTTTTACACTTCCCTCAATGTCTGTCCTTTAAAATGTGGCCCATCAATATAAACTAAGAATACCTACATATGTTCAATTCAACTTTGCCTTTTTCCGAGGATAGCTAAGTCAGTGTTCATAAAAAAGTGTTATTTTTCTGACTAGATATTTTCTACTGTTTTAGTCTGTTGCTAGGTCTTTGGCTAATTTTTCCAAATGGCCTTGCATTAGTAGCTTAGGGGACTTAAAATCTAATGCTTCTAGATACTTCTCAATCCCAGTAAGTCCATCTTAGGCTGTCTGTTGCACACGTTAGTGATGGCTCAACCTTGGGCATTTGCTTTCAAACATTGCTATGGCTTTTGAGATGCCACAGGTGGATTTTACATACTGGTTTAATTATTTTTGAAAACTAGTCTGCATCTCCGGAGTCTCAGTTTCCCTTCTTCTCCCAAAACTAACTGTGAAGAATTGTTAAATGTATAGTAGTGAGCAACTAGCACTAATGCATAGTTTTCTGTAAGTATGTTCAACTTGATTATCTACTGTAACATTGCGTTCATTAAAAATCTGTTTCAGATTTTTTTTGTGCTGCGTAAGAAAAACAACCAAGTAACATTCCTGCATGTCTTTCATCATTCCATCATGCCATGGACCTGGTGGTTTGGAGTCAAATTTGCTGCAGGTAGTGGAGAGAGAGTTGAAGTTGTACAGATCTTCTGGTAGTAAAAGTTAACTATGCTAGAGAAAAAAAATTGCAAACATTGGTGTTTTTAAAATTAGATGCCTGCAGTATTTCATGAGAGCAACATAATTATTTAAGTGTGTGGGGGGGAGGAATACTGATTTTTCCTATTTGACAACATTTTGTGCAGTGTTGGTTTCTCTTAGGGGGGTGAAGGGCGCAGAAGAGAACTTTTACATATGCAGAGATGTGACCGCGAAATCAGAAGTGCTAAGCAAGACGCATGAGGCAGATAACTGTTGAAATTACTTCAAAGCCATTTGTTCCCCTTTGTAGCTATTTTTAGTGGCTTCAGGTAGTGTAATTGGGGCATATTTACATCCCATACTTTGGCTTTAACAAAACCACAGAAACTTTTTTCTGGATCTTACTTATTACAGAAACTTATTTGAATTGTACTGAACTGGAAAGTCTTTGTCCACTCCCACCTTACCTTCACTTTCTCCTTTCCTGTTTGGATGTCTGTGTACACATCTTTCTGTGTTGTATTATTAGTGTGCACCATTAATAAATAAAGGTTGCCATGAGAATAGCCTCATAAACACTGAGTGGAGAAATGCACAGTCATTTCGTAATCTACCTCTGTGAAGGTGTGGGGTGGTTTTTTGGAGTTGCTACTGAGAAATAGGAGGTTTTTTTATGTTTCTTCACTCATGTTCTCTGGCAAGTTTTTTTTGTTATGTTTTTTTTTTTCCAGAAAATGGGTGAGAAGAGAACCATTGCTTATTAAATCTGATCTGTTATGAATGCAAAAAAAAAAAAAAACCACCTGGGAGCAGTCCATAGAATTTGTAGATGGACTCTTTTGAACATGTCCAATGTGCAGATTTTCCTAGTGTATAGAAGAATATATTTCTGCTGTATTTATTGAGGTTTTGTTAATAGGAAGCTGGTGTTTTGATCAGGTCTTTATCAAATGTTGCTGAGTAACTGTTATTTCAATTCATTAATGATGAAACTGTGAATAGCTTTCTCAGCATACAGTTCAGTGTGTTTGTAGGTCTGCAAAAACCCCCAAGCAACTAAAAGTCCCTCCTCTTCAGCCTTCAAAAGTTTCCATTTATAGGTGATTAACTGTAAATCTTTATCCGTACTTCATTTGGACATCAGATCAGTATGCTAGCTACAGGCTTCTGATTTTGCATCAGATTCAAATTTCCCATGTGATAATTTGACATACTTTCAGCAAAGTGTGCAAGAACTATTTTGTCCTCTGCTAATAATAGTCCTTCATATATACACAGAGCTGTGTTTGTTCCTACAGCTGTATTGCTTATCTTTACACTAATCTTATCAAATATTGTTCTGTTTGGTGCCTTAATTTTCTTTCCAAGAATTTCAGTCCTGCTGATGGTTACCTTGTATTCAGTTTCATCACTATTTGTCCTTCTAAATGGCGGCATTGGTCAAATTTTCGACCTGGTAAAAAACCAATGGGTTTGCATAGAGATTTAGATTTTTTTTTTTTTTCCCTCTGATCTAATGCAAACAAGGAATTATAAAATGGTGCTTATGTATGGTGTTGCTTTTTGTGGCATATTTTTGTACTGTTAATTAGGTGTTCTTTCTTTTTGTTCTGCTTTAACTATTTGTTTTTTCTTCTGAATATTCACTGTGCAAGCCAAAAAAAGTATGTATATTTGAACTGTAAGAACACTCAAATTATTTTTAAAAATACAAATAGCTAAGTTTCAAAGAAAGTTTGCAATCACAACAGGAGGAGTTATGATCTATCAAGCTGGAAGATTAGTGTGAGCTACTAAAATTACAAAAGATGGTTTTTGTTTTTTTTCCTTTTAACTTGAATGGTACTTAATGGAAAATTGGGTTGGGTTTTTTTTTTCCTCTCACTAAATGTGTGCTTTTCTGTCATCTTGCTTTCTTCCTGATGCTCAGTATTTTCATGTTCATATTTCTCTTAAAAATACCTTGCTGGCTGCCATTTATTGGATCATTGTTACCTATAATTTCTTGTGTTCATTAAAATAACATGATTTTGAGCAGGATCATCTAACTCCATGGTTGATCCAATGGAAAAGGAAAAGTATTTCTTTACTTGCTTTGTGAAAAGATTGTATCTTACATGTTTCAGTCATGAGTTCACTATAAATGGGACCACTTGGTCTTAAATTTCCTTTTTGCTCCAAGTATGTTTTTGAGGTGGATGGTGGATTTATGAGATCCTCACTTAGGTCATGATTCCAAAAACTTACTATGTGAAATTGTGATTCTTTCCCTGGGAATCTGGAAATCTGTGTTGGGGAAAGAATTATTAGTTGTCCTCTAGAGCTCTGCAAAGTTCATTGTGATGTCTAGCAGAGAGGTGTAAACTAGGAGGAACGCTGTTTCTACTATTTTCTCTGAATGTCCATTACATATATTTTTTAATAAGAAACAATTTAAAGAGTGAATCAAAAGAACAAAAAATTCCACTAAAACCTTTTACAGATAATTTGATCACCTAGGTTTTCTTGCTGCTTTGGAAATGCTCAGAATTGGTATCAGGTTAAATACGTTGTGGATTAATCAAAGCCTGTAGGGTTTGCGGTGCATGGTTTTTCTACCCCAAAACAAACTTCTAGGGCTTGAGGTGGCTTTTTAAATACCTGGTGCAATAATACTGCTACTGTGTTTGTTTTTTCTACAGGTGGTTTGGGAACATTTCATGCACTACTGAACTGTATTGTCCACGTTGTCATGTACACTTATTATGGAATCTGTTCTTTGGGACCAGCCTATTATAAATATTTGTGGTGGAAAAAATACATGACCACTATGCAACTTGTAAGTAACTTGTTTGATGTAAACACCTCTCAAAGCTGATTGTAGTTAACACAGAATTAATGCAATACACTTGTACTTTATTTATGTTCATGTATGTAAATACACTTGTACTTTATTTATGTTCATGTATGTAGCTTATGGTTGGTACATGGTTTACCCATGTTTTGAGTGAAACAAAGGTGAGCTTTCCTCAGTTATATACTTAAATATGCTGATTTCATTCACTATAGTCACAGATTTAGACACATGGGCTTTTCAGGTATACAGTATTTGGTAAATATATTTGCAAAACTCATTGCCTGTATGAAAATTATTGGCGTGTAGTTTACACCAAGGAAACAAAAACAATGAACAGAATACATGGGGCTAATAGTAACAAAGGAAAAAGAAGTATTTCTTCAGAATTTCATGTTTATTCTTTCATAGAAAATGTCTATTTAGAGAATTCACTTCTGTCTAACTCAGAGCATTAAAACCTTCTCTGCAGTAATTACAGTAAGTGTTTTATGACCCTTAGATCACTTTCAGGAAGTAACCACTCTGGGTGCCTTTTCATGCCTGGCCTTTTTAATAGCTGATTTTTGAAAATTCAGCTTCTGGCTAAAAAATTAGTTTGGCCTGAGCAAGGATGCTGATGGAGAAGGGAAAGGAGCACGGAGAAGCAGACATGGCTGTCTGCTTGCACCAGCTCTGGTGTTAACAGAGTAGTTCACGTAACCATGTGTAACTGAACGATTTAGCTTGAATATTTATAACTTAAAGTCTTTTTGTCTTGGAAAAACTACCAGTGGATTATTAACTTGGAGTTCATGTGGAAACTTTTTTTTGTAATTGTCCATTAAATTGTTCTTTGGGACCTGAAGAACTTTGTGTCACATGCTAGTATGTGGGGAAAGTGCGAAATCATGTTCTCCAATCCTATAATGGTTGCCTTTTGGTGTTGGTTGGTTGGTTGGGTTTTTTCTGGCTAATTTTTCTGAAGGAAAAGCCTCCCATTCTGCACTAGCCAAACACCATCTCCCGCCTCCTTTCTTCTCAGAACTGCCCAGGACAGACTCCCATTCTCCTAGTATGGGTTTCTCAGTGCTGCTGATAGTTGAGTTTGTCTCAGGACTTCACTCTTTGCTCTATGGAAATGCTTTTCAGTGGAGTAACATTTGCAAGAGGGTCTATAAAGGTGCATCTCTGTCGATTTTAAAAAGAGCTCTCCCTCAAGGCATTCTGTTTTTCTGTGTGCAAGTTGTGCTGAATACCTTTAAGCTTCTGTAGTAAGGTTGATATTTATTTTAAAAAGTATTTTCTTCACCTTTTTCCTCCAGGTCCAGTTTATTTTGATTACGGGCCACATTGGACAAATCTACTTAATGGATGATTGTCCATACCAGTATCCAATTTTCATGTTAATTATCTGGATGTATGGCTCTATGTTTTTGGTCTTGTTTCTCCACTTCTGGTACCACGCTTACACAAAGGGAAAGCGACTACCAAAGACGGCAAAAAATGGGATCAGCAAAGATCAGTGAAACAAACTCTTATCTCTAAAACCAAAAAAGTGTAAAAGTCGAAGTGGAAACTGCTTGACAATCGAGATATTTAGGTGCACACACTACATGGTGTATATTTTGTATGTTTTCATCCAAAACAGAATTCGTATTTTTACCATAAGTTATTTGGGATTCAGAATTCGGGGGATGTGGAAAGCAGCAGGGATCTCTGATTAAAAGAAAAAAAAAAAGCAATTTTGTGACAGCTTGTTCATGTCTATTCTGTAAGAAATCAATGGACAGATGATCTCTAGAAATGCTTGACAATAGCAATGTTCACTGGGAAAACTAAAATGTGTATGACGAGTACTGAGTACTTTGAGCACTGAGAGAAAAAAATACTTCACCTTAAATGTTGTAAGTTGCTGAGACTGTCAGCTGCATTTTATTACAAGAATGAATCTTCAGTAAGTACTGTTTATAGAATCTCAAGCTTATTAGTATAGTTAATACATAAACATTGCTACATCTGTTTACAAACTATATAACTTTAAAGAAAGGATTGTATGTTAATCTGTTGAGGTATGGTGTTTCATTCGAAGATCATAGATTTTTGGATATACTGTTTAAGGTAACTTAATTCATTTCATGCTGTACTCACGAATATATTCTAAATGTTGGAATCCTACTGATTTGAAGATTATCTGAACTGTCTTATAGTGTAATGATCAAAAAAATCTTACTGACTTGTTCACCAAAGTAGCCTAATGTACTTACTAATCAATGTATCTATGGATATATTTTGATATTGGTAGCTTAGGCTGTTTAGGCAGGAAAATAATCTTGTCACTCAGTAGCCAAAATCCTAGTCGTCAAGTAAGTTTAAAAAAATATACTTTTGATTGAGGCCTACATACCACCCAGCATGATTGTACTGTGTCTGCTTTCTTCCATTTCCATTATCCATTGAAATACATGCCTATAAAGATTTTCCGTTTGGTTTTGTTATTATTATTGTTTGGGTTTAAGCACTCAAGGTTAAGGATTCTCTATTAATAGCACCAGTTATGTTGCCCAGAACCAGAAAAAAAGATAGGTGCCATTCTTTGAGCTGCTGAGACTGGGGCAGGCAGTGATGGCTGGGCATGACTCCATTCTGTGTAGAATTAACCGGTATGTTGTTTTCCATGCTTAAGCAGCTTGTTAGGGTCACACATGTACAGAAATCAAAGGACCTAGCTATTTGTATGCAAGTTGCATTTGTACTGTATAAATTTATTAAGGAATTGGTGCATGCAACAGACGTAAATGTGGAGTTGAAGATGTTCAATGTTATCTTTAAAAGTACTGTTTTCTATTACATTCACTAACAACAGAAAAGAAGCTTGTGATATTTGTTCTGTGCTTGTTCTATCTGTGGGATAGTCAAACACCCAAAATTTTGGGTCAGGTTTTAATTGCCTCTGTGTTGCACAATTCCAAGAAGTAACCTGGATACTTTTATGGGGATACTGCCATTTATGGTGCACTGTTAATGCTAAAAGGATTTAAACTTTATCTTGGACATGAGTTGCAAATGATTTATTGTGAGATTATATACAAGTTGTCTGTATAAAACAAATAAAAAATAATTTATATTCTATCTTTCCAGTATTTAATCACTGTAGCTATCAACTACCATGGCAGGTTGAAATTAGATCCCAGAAAGGATTTGGATGACTTGAAGTGTATATTGTGATCCCTGAATTTTAGATGCTTGATCCCAGAATTCTCAGTGCTGAGTTTAGGCTCCCTGTCAGTGCATGCAGACAGGTGCTTTAGGACAGAATCCTAGTCAGCTAGGGTGCTGATCAGGGGCCACATGCAGTTTCAGTGGGAAATGCTGTAACTGACTCAAAGTCTCAAATTCTACTAGTCTCCAGCCTGTGCATATGCCTGTGGCTTCCAAAGCAGCGGGCAATCTTCTTAGGATGGAGACCTATTGCTGTTTTTTAAAGCAGCTGGAAAGGATTTTTCTGACATGTTTTTGAATCTTGAATGCTGCTTATTTTTTTAACATAATTTGTTAACTCAGTACTAATGAAGAAAGTGGGACAGTTTGGTTCCTCTAGGCCTTCTTGAGCCTGTGGGTTCAAACATGTCTGGGAAATGCAGGCCTTTCAACTGAAAGGCTGTAATAGCTAGTCTGCAGTGTAACAGAGATGATGCTACACTCTCCTGCCTCTGGAGGTGTAGTAGGTTGACCCTGGCTGGATACCAGGTGCCAAAGCCCCTTTATCACTCCCTCTCCTCAGCTGGACAGGGGGAGAGAAATAATGAAGGGCTTACGGGTCAAGACAAGGACAGGGAGAGACGAAGACATCATTGACCAGTTACTGTCATGGGCAAAATAGGCTTGACCTGGGGAAATCACTTGTATTTATTACCTCTCAGATCAGAGTAGGGTAATGAGAAATAAAACTCAATCTTAAAATACCTTCCCCCACCCCTCCCTTCTTCCTGAACTTTACTTTACTCCTGGTTTCTTCTACCTCCTCTCCCTCACAACAGGAGGTTGAGGAATGGGGATTGTGGTCTGTTAATCACCCTTGTGTCTGCTGCTCCTTCCTCCCCAAGAAGAGAGCTCCTCCCATTCTTCCCCTGCTGCAGTATGGGGTCCATCCCACAGGAGACAGTCCTCCATGAACTCCTCAGTCCCTCCCACAGGCTGCAGTCCTTCAGGAACAGACTGCTCCAGTGTGGGTCCCTTCCATGGGTGCAGTCCTTCAGGAACAGACTGCTCCAGTGTGGGTCCCTTCCATGGGTGCATCCTTCAGGAACAGGCTGCTCCAGTGTGGGTCCCTTCCATGGGTGCAGTCCTTCAGGAACAGGCTGCTCCAGTGCGGGGCCCCCGTGGGGTCACAAGTCCTGCAGCAAACCTGCTCCAGCGTGGGCTCCTCTCTCTATGGGGCCACAGCTCCTGCCAGGAGCCTGCTCCAGAGCAGGCTTCCCACAGGTCACAGCTTCCTTTGGGCATCCGCCTGCTCTGGTGTGTGGTCTTCCATGGGCTGCAGGGGGAGATCTGCTCATCCATGGACCTCCATGGGCTGCAGGGGCACAGCCTGCCTCAATATGGGCTGTAGGGGAAGGCCCGCTCTAACTGGAGCATCCCCTCCCCTCTGTCTGCACTGACCTTGGTGTCTGCAGAGCTGTTTCTCACGCATATTGTCACTCCTCTCTCTGTCGGCAGTTGCTCCTGCACAGGAACTTTTTCCACTTCCTGTGTTGCCCCAGTGGTGCTACCACTGTTACTGGTTCGGCATTGACCAATAGTGGGGTCTGACTTGGAGCCAGATGTCATTGGCTCTATTTGACACGGGGGAAGCTTCTGGCAGCTTCTCACCGAAGCCACTCCTGTAGCCCCTCCACTATCAAAACCTTGGCATGCAAACCCAATACAAGAAGGGAGTAGGCATTCCTCCCTAGTCTTGCAGATGACTCCAGTGCTGGCAGGGGAAGTCCTAATTCTGGTCTCTGATTTTGCAATTTTCCACCCCTCCTCCACCCCACAGATCTGCAGGGAGGAGTGCATCCTGCAGCTGGGTGTGGGGGGCCCAATACGTGGTTTGGGACCTCAGTCTGCAGCTGATTGTTCAGGATCACTTGGGCTTAAGTAGGAGTTGAGAGTAAACACAGCCAAAACTAAGGATCTCTGCGCATGGACAGGTGTTGAATAGAAAGGAGCCAGGAAAAGGTTTTGAGTCCAGCAGTTGTAGTCAGCCTCCAAAGTCAGTTGTTTGAGTTAATAAGCAGGAGCAGAAACTGGAGATGCTGATCATTCTGAGGGCTGTCAGCAAGTGCCATTTCAGATTCCTGCT